GTACTGTGGTATTACCACTAGTAGCATTAGCAGGACTAGCATTAGTGGTAGTACTATGTACTGTAGTATTACCACTGGTAACATTAGCGCCAATAACATTTTCAGCAGTAGCATTAGCAAAACTAGCATTAGCAGAACTAGCATAGCTGAATTAGCAGAACTAGCATTATGAGAACTAGCATTAGCAGTACTAGCATTAGCAGAATTAGCATTAACAGTAGTAATTTTGAAGTGGATTTCAGAGTTTTTGAGGGGTTTGAAGTGATCTCAAAGTATTTTCTTTGTAAACAAAATAAAACGTTTTGAAAGTACAAGCTACAACAATCACAAGTCACGGCACCAGTCTCCTGAACGAGCCGTGCTGTTTTACATGTTCACTTCTGAAAACTTTCAAAGTTTGCACAAAGAGTTAGACCTTTAATTTTGGCCTTTCCTTCCAGGGGGGCTCCACAGCGGTCATGTCGGACCCGGTCCAGGTGCCGTCGCAGGTCCAAATCACCCAGCTGTACGAGGACAACAGCAACAAGCGCTCGGTCCTCACCTCGCAGCCCAACGGCCTGGCTCCAATAAGCTCCACCCGGCCGGGCCTGCCCCTCCCGGACCGGCAGACCTCAGCGGTAGATCCGGGCCACCATGGGCGCCAGGGCAGCGCCACCTCCAACAAGTCGGCTGACGGCAAGCCAAAGCAGACCCCTCTGACCCCCGAGCAGGCCTTGAAACAGTTCATGTCCAAAATGTCCTCCTTCGAGCACCATGAGGTGTTCAGCTACCCTGAAGGTGAGCTCCTTTAAAACAACAGCACCTCAAACCAGCCTCGGACTGATCCGGTCTGCTCTCCTCCTGTTCTGCTCAGTGTTTTTTGTTGGACCAAATGCAAAGAAGAAATCGGGGGTTCTGGGCGGAGCCAACAACGGCGGTTACGACGATGAACACGGCTCCTACATCCAAGTCCCACACGACCACATCGCTTACCGATACGAAGTCCTCAAGGTGATCGGGAAGGGCAGCTTCGGACAGGTACGCCTTCCTCCGGCCCCGCAGCTGGCCCTGCAGCCGGTTCTTGAGCTGTGCTCGAACGTTTCTGTCTCTGTGATTATTTTATGTCTCGTGCTCGTTTTACTGGTTTTTGTTGTGGGTCAGTTTCAGAACGATTTCAGAAAAACCTGCGATACTTTTAATAAACGATTCACGATAAACCCACGCCCTGCCACCACGAGGCTCACGACACTTTGTACTTTTTACTTTTTTTTGACAGAGTTAGCTTCTAGACCAGGGGTGTCCAGACTTTTTCATCCTGCGAGCTCCTTTTAAAAGGACCAGGTCAAAGTGATCTACCTGCTATAAGGCCCCGTTTACACAGAACCACCGCTGGAAACTTTAGAGCTTTTTCAATGAAAACGCTGTAGTTTCCATGTCAGTCGGGTTGCCAGATAAGAATTTACGAACTATAGTAACAACTTTTAGAAACTTCTAAGGCAGGGCTGTTCAACTGGTGGCCTGGGGGCCAAATCAAGCCCATGGTGAGCTCAGTATGACCCACCAATGGGTTCATTTTTAAATAAAACTAGATTTTAAATCATAAAACAAACTTATAACTGCTGGATGTCCGGCCCCTGAGCTCTTGGCTTCAGTAACTGAGGCCCCCTGAGCAATTTAGTTAAATAGCCCTGTTCTAAGATGAGGTGTGTGTTGTTTGTTGAACATGTGCACAGAAAAGACGGGATTAAAAATGACATTTTAAATGTATCTGGCAACCCTGATGCTCAGCTGCATTCATCGTGCAGCGTCTGCATGACCGTTACGTCCAAACTGGTGAAGACACAAACATCTCTGTGGAGCCTGGACTTTATTAGTTTTGCTGAAAAATGGTGAGCAGCACAAAAACACTCTGCTCGCTGCCATTTATTATAACTGTTGTTTATTATAACTGTTGTTTATTATAACTGTTGTTGTTTATTATAACTGTTGTTGTTTATTATAACTGTTGTTATGTTTATTATAACTGTTGTTATGTTTATTATAACTGTTGTTGTTTATTATAACTGTTGTTGTTTATTATAACTGTTGTTGTTTATTATAACTGTTGTTATAGTTATTATAACTGTTGTTATAGTTATTATAACTGTTGTTATAGTTATTATAACTCTTGTTATAGTTATTATAACTCTTGTT